GACTCACTGCCATGAAAACCTCAAATCCTACTTAACATAATCCTCCCATTCACATCTAGGTCTTCCAAGTGATCTCTACTGGCTTTCCAACCATAATTTTGTACCACTTCTTATACTCCATGCATGCTATGTGCCCATCCACAGACATACTGACACATGAAGAAGATAAAGACACATGTAAGTAAGACTGATAACATTTAAAGCAAAAATGAAAAATAAAATTCACCATCGCTCGTAAAACATGTTTACTGAAAAAGAAAGATTAAAAGTACTTTATACAATATCGACTAATAAAATTGTGGGAAGGGGAAATACAGCACAAGTTTACTGAAAAAAGAAGTACACATACACAAGCAACAGAGTGTGTAGGAGAGTATAAATAATACCACTGTCATAACTAATATCATTACCACCAAACAAATAATCATCCCTTTCACTGATGAACAGATTGCCCGCTATCTTTCGATCACAGTTTCATGGGTGATGAAGTCATTCCTGTTTCAATAATACTTCTTGAAGACACACCGTTCACATCACCATCATAGTGTTAAGAAATGATCTTTGAAGATGACAGCTGAACTAATTACTATACAAGACAATTTGTAGTGATTCTCCAAGCTGCAAGACCACCACAATGGTCTAGGGGTCAGCATTCTAGCCTGATAATCTAAGGGTCCCAGGTCCGATTTCAACCGGTCACTGACAATACAGAAGAAAAAAGAAATGTCAGTATAATGACAACCAATCACCTGAATACATGAACAGAGCCAACTGTCAAAACATCATGTATACAAAATATACCTCAGACAAGGGACAATGTCCATCCAGCATAGTGAGTGGTCTACTGTCACACGACTAGCAGTGGCAGTAGGCAATATTAACCACACAGCAAGATTCTGGAGTTATAATGTTGTTGATTTATCATTATTCTCTCTGCAATGATGAAAATAATATAGCAGGTGCAACGTCTTTATGGCTTCTGCTGCGGTCTGTATGACAGACTGATACATTTCCAGACTCTGGTGATGTCATGTCAAAGAAGAAACAAATATAACTCTTCTAACAAAGCATGAGTTTAAATGACCTGCTCATGCCACTAACTGAGCCTGATATGACTGTCACAATAATGCATGTACTGTACGACCAACTAAGTTTGTCTGGTGACCACAGCCTGCCTGCCACCTACACTACAAACTGATGCTCCGCCTTCTAATGCACATTGTCACAAAGGCATTTGGAAACAGCTACTATAACCAGTTACCTGCTGGCGTTACATCATAGAAACTCTCAACTTAAATGTGACAAAGCCATTCATGATCTGGGTTACAGTTACATTTCCCACCAGTCTTATTTTGATCATGGGAGCTCTCAACTTAACTGCCTCATGGAGGTTTGCTATTGGAGTCACTGTTTTTCACTGTTACATTTCACTAGCAAGTAAATAAGTTTCAAACGATTATTTACTGGAGTTATTTGAAATACAGGTACCTGCCATAAATATTAGATTTACAAACAGAGAATGGGAGGCATTCTCTTTTGCCCTCAGTTCTTTCATCTCCTATCTTATTTCTTGCAAATTTGAAGTTCCTAGAACTAATGATTACAGTCACTGCTTGAAAACACTGTTACCTACAAGTAATTCTTGTCCTCGGGTTTATACAATTGGAGATAAACGTAAAACTTAGGTATTTTGGTGTGAGCGACATCAAACATCGAGTGTCAACCAACAGTTTGGAAAACAATGCAACTGCCAGGGTGAGTTCTGGAAGCCTCACAAAGGGTAGGCAGTAGGAGGCAATTTAATGGAGCAGCCCACTCCCCTGTTTGACCGAACAGTACTATTAGTAGCTATTAACAAATGGCTGGATCGCTCATCTCGAAGTTATACTGGTGACAAATTTTAGCCACAACTTTAATTTAAAGCTAGCTGCAGAACTCAGCTCTATTGCATGTGCATGGCTACCAACACATTCACTACAAATAGGTTTTATTTTGTGTCTGTGGGAAGAACCTGCACTTCAAACAATTGCACTCAAAAAATGTACCATGCAACGGCAATCACTCTGAAAGGACCGCTAATAAATAACATATTACTTTCACTGCAATCTTCAACTTGCTGCTAATTAAACCATGGAACAAATCAGGTGTAACTTAAAACACAGAGAGGTATTTTTGTTTCAAGGTGCATTATCCATAAGCCAACATTTAAAACAATGTGTTTACAGTACATTATATTCTTTTCATCAATGTTTCAGATATAACCACCCCTTTCTTATGCTCATATTATAAAACAATACCTTACAGTAACATCAACACAATAACAACTGGATCAGCAGCATTCAAATTCCCAAGTACATACCAGTTTCCCCAAGCTGGATTCACGTGAGTACTAAATAAGGGTGTACTTGAGAGGCACCATTTCAGTTATTGCTGACATCCACGCTACACTTTCACAGATCACTGCACTCAACACCTCAGCCTATTTCTATCACAAAGAGTTCTTGCTGAAACTTCTTATATACATATATCACACACCCTTTCACACAAAAACTTAAATAATTCTACGGGTATATAACAACCCTGTTTGTTGCATCCTACTGTTGGGATCTGTTCATGTTTAATAAAATAATTATGATTCCAGAAAGTGGCATCTAATACAATATGGACAGCAATAAAATCTGAAAGCCATGTTATTATCGTAGTGCAACAGCAACATGCTGCTTATTCAGCCATCTCTTTCGCTGGATATTACTAAAATGCTGCCTCACAAACATCAAGTATATTTACCTACAAACTGGTACATAATCTTCCACTATCATCATTTCCATTTTAAATTGGTCACAATATCTAGAAATAAAAAAAGTCTCTATTTATAGAGAGACCCAACAGTACCAGACATGTTAGTTGAAATACAAGAACTGGTTAATAAAGCTATACTACTCAAACAATGACGAATTTACCCATTAACTATGGTAAAATCATGGGTGGATCAAAAGAAAAACATTACACAACATGCAAGAGTTATACAAAGTCCATTAGCTTTCATATATAGCTGTCATGTATACTACATTAAATGTTTACATTAAACATAAAAACACATCACGAAAGTGCCGCTCAGTCTCAAATACCACACCACTTTACCTACTTCAAGCACACCCAAATATGTAGAAAATACAGAATGGCGGACATCACCAAAGTTTGCAAAGGTTCAAAATAAACACCACAACGTCTGTTCAACATACTGAACAAACTGGAGGTTACTGGTTCCTGAAAATATTAAATATGACGGGCAATCTGTACGTAACACCTATTCAGTGTTTCTGGTATTTGTCACTATCAGACTCGACTCGTCACTTACACAAACAACTCTTACCACAGCGTGGGCTGAAAGACTTACAAGTAACATATGAAAAAAGACACTGTAAACTGTCATAATGACAAGCGATGTAGAATGATGGAAGACAGAAGGATAAATGTGTGGCAAACCAACAGTTTCACACAACACACGTTGCACATTTAAAAGTATGCTAGCTTACAGTGAGTACAGCTGTTCAAAGCTGGTTTAAAACTGCAAATCATTGAAAGCAACATTCCATTTTACACAGTGCTAGCAAAGTTATCAGGTTTGTCAGCGTGTCAGTGTTTCTTTCAGTACTATAAACTATGCCCCTTTTTAACTTACCAGACTTACATGTGTATAAATAACACATCTCTTAATTTAAACAACAGTGATTCATACAAACAGTGAGCTAAACAAGATAATGCTGGAGCCACAGCGTACAGAAACATGTTCCACTACATAAATAGATTTTGACTAATCTGCAGTACAGACCTTATCCCAAATTACTTGCTGATGCTGAATGATGCTGTAACCTAGAGACCAGTGAATTACAAACTAGGGAGGAGGACAATGCTCCCCATTGGACAATACTGGTAAACACCTAATATCAAAAACCAATGACAAGAGAAGAAGTCAGTCAAGATATAAGTAATGCCTTATTGTGGGCCTCCTCCACACAGAAGAAAGTCATGTGTACTATGAGAACACGGTATGTTATAATTACCAAATTATAATAACCTGCAAAGCTTTCTCCATTATTACATTTATATTAAGAATATTTGTGAGCTCATAAGCAGCTAAACTCCAACTAGTTCCACAGTCATCATCACAGGCACTTCTCCCAACACAATATTTACATTTATACATTTATTACCTCTCCAATACCTTAGTTCCTCATCAACATCACTAATCTACTGCTTTAGAAATATATATGAATCAAAGTGGAAGAACAAACACAGTCTGTGACGTAGTTCAGATAAGATGATAACCCAGCTTTTTCCTACAGCAACCTTAGCAAGTGTAATAAATCTTGATGAGGATAGTCAGCCTTAGAAACCAAACCATCATGCATACAATATATAACGCAGCAGTACCCACTGCACCTGCCATAGTAACAATTCAAGCATGTTCTTCTCTGGCTTACTCCTGTTTTAACGAGTGGCCAAGTGCTATAATAGGTCAGTGCCAGTCGTGTGATGGACAGAATGGCAGTTTTTATTCTCATTTTGCTATACATCATGTCCTGTAAAAAATAGTTTGAAAGTGAACTGCATACGCAGTCATGCAGATCCTTATTTCACTTCTTAAAATATGCGTATCTGATAGAAGCTCCGCTGGAAACCACGATTCAATACTAATTACTTCAAGCAACTGGATAATTTAAAATAATTCACATACATATTTAAAATTTCTCAGCCCCAAACTTTTATACTGACTAGAAACAGACTGCAGGTTAACGGTAGTGGTTCATAACAAATGCATAAGGCATGGGGAGTCTCGAACAGAAATATAAAGTCCAGAGAGGTACCTGGGATGAAGAATGTTGAGGTTAGGGAATTATGATTATGCTTCTGGCATTTACAGCATCTGCTAATGACTTAATGCATAACAAGCCATCAGTAATATCTTGCATAAAATACTGTGAAGTCAACACACTCACCCTGCCGTGCCCCTTGAGCATCAAGCTGTCCCCAGTATGTCTCGCTGGGTGATGAATGGTTCACTCCAGGTGGAGGCTGGGCAGCTTGGCCTGTGTACCGGAAGTAAGGATTTTTCAGATCCAGTGTGTTGGCTGAACGTGTGCCTGTGCCTTCCACACAGAGCTCTATTGTCACATCGTAACTTTGCCTGAGAACAACGCAAACATCATTACTTGAAATTTCTCCTGTAATTACAAGCCAATTTACTACCAGGGACTGGCAATAAATATTAAGGCTATTTACGCAAGCATAAGCACAGTTCTGTTACACCTTGCCTATGATTTAGGAACCGAACTCATAAAATTCCTGTATGTAGGACAATTCAATTAAGGGTCACAGTTTGCACACCTGTGTTCCAAGACATATGCCATTTCTTTCATTCACGAAACTTCTATTTCGAGCTATAAGTCCAAATGCATTGTGTGAACAATTTCTGAGTACAACTTCAGCTTTTGGTTGAGAGCAAACGAGACTGCTCAAACAGCACTGTTTCTGTGGAATGTACCTACCTCTGATTTGCAATAAGCAACGCACGACCAGTCAAAAGCTGGCCGGCTTTCACAAAGATGGGCGTTTCTAGGAGGCATCGGACCTGGTACCAATGTGTCAGTGGTTCTGTCGGTGCCGTAGACAGCCATATTGTTTGCACTGATCCGATGAAAGCGACATCAAACCAGAAAGCAAGGCCATGCACTGTGCCAGATTCTAAGAGATGGAAATCCAGTGGCACTTCTGTAAAACAATCACAAATGTTCGACCTTTCATCACACCTGGCTGTGAGGTGCTAGAATGGATTTCTACTTAAGCAGAATCTGTAAGCTCATGCAATGCTGGCAGACATGTCTGGATCAAACTGGAGATTTTGTTGAAAAATGTCAGGACACGTCCAAGTACTAGAGACAGTAACTGCATTCTTTCATGTACATTTGTTTCAATAAATGTATAAATGTGTTCATGACTTTGGGTCTGAATGTTTTTCTAACACCTCCTTCCCGCAAGGTAAGAAACCATGTGCTACAATCATCAAAACAATGAACAAATTAAGTGCTTCATACACCTGTAGGCAGTTTTGGATACGTAAAACTTTTGAATTGAATAGTTTTATCATATTTAATAGAACAAGTTTGAGTATAGCAATCATCAAAGAACAAGTGGCCACAAAGCAGTGGGTACAGGGCTGATCACATCTCAAAATAAAATAAACATCTCTCAACAAAGCAGATTTTTCACTCTGCACACTAAGAATCCAAATAGAAACTGCCCTATCTGCAGACAATGCCCCGTACCTTATCATTTATGGCACTGCTTGAAACAGGAAACAAAGTGTACAAATTCTACTCACCAATTCGATGCAGATCTGACTCTTCTGCCTCTTGAAAATCAACTACATGCCGCACTGATTTTGACATACACACTCTCATGTCAAAAGTGTCAACAATTGGCTGTCGAAAATATTCTTTCATAGCTGCCTGGCGCAGACTACTGAGATCAACACCATGAAAGCACTGCTGGTACCTGCAGCATATGGAACACTCAACTGGAGTTGGGAAAGTAAAGTACTAAAAGGAAAATAATATGATACCACAAGAATAACATATTTATCCGTAACAACAATTCACATATTATGATGCCAGAATGGGTCAACGTGTGTCCTAACTCAATGACTGTTAGACAATAATCCATATTATTTCTAGTTTCTCTGGGAGACAAAGGATTTGAGCACTAGATGGGGTTAAGTGGTCAGCGTCACGCCCCGGCCTTGCTTTACCCCCGGGAAAGAACCCTGGTACCCATTGGATAGGATGCTGGGTGGGCCCCAGAGCCGGTCTGAACACAGAGGCTAGAGGAAAAATCCTCTGCCTCCGTCGGGGATCGAACCCCGGTTGCCCAGTCCGTAGCCAGTCACTATACTGACTGAGCTACGCTGGCTCACTTTCCAGTTCATTACTCACTGAATATCCTACAATTTGACCCATACACTAAAAATTGTAACAACAAAGAAAGATAAAAAAATCATACTTGAACAATAGAAACCCTAAATAAATAAACATAAAATGCAACATCCCACTGCACTTACAATTCACAGCTGGACATGCAATGTAATGTGGGTGTGTGGATTGCTGGACAGACAGATGAATGGGACGACATACATTTATTATTCTGTTAATCATATAAAAACATTTCCAAACTCTGAGATCTTTCTCACCTCTCAAAATATCCAGCGGCATCGTGAACGGTGTTGATGATTTGCTGCTGCAAAACATGCCAATGGTCGTGACATTGCAGATGTATAAACAGCACTTACAGTAGGCTCACTAAAGTATTAGTTTGTATCTGGGCTCAATGTTTTACATGCGAACAAATATGACAAACTTACCAGAAGTTTGCCTTATTGAATTGCTCCATGTACAGACTATCATCCGTAAACGGAGCTATGTGGAGATCGCCGCGTGTTGGGAACATTCGACCTAGACAACAGAGAAACAGTAAGAAAAGAAATTAAATTTCTTCACACTGATAATTTTCTTTTTCTTGTACCCAGCCAACGCGGCACGGAACTGACATGTTCCAGTTTTCTTCGTTCTCTTAATATGGATTAAAATTATATCTGAAAGTTCAAACAAAACCTGTTCAAAGGAAGAGAAAAAGACTCTGGAAACTTTCTACCCCTGTCTTATGGAACCAGAGATCTGACTAACCCTTCAAGCCAATATTTAAACCACTAGCGGTATTTAAAAATACCTGGAAAAGTACTATCACATAAAAATATTCATTTTATGCATTTTAGAATCTGAAGTTTTCAGGCAATGCTAGGATGACTCTGAAATTTAGTGTGGTATAATTATTTATATATCTTACTTTTTTGGGGTTAGAAATTGTCTTTGGTGTAGTATCAGGCATTTGATGTATTCCCCCATAGCATCTGGATAGCAAAAACCACATTAAGTTAATGAAAGTCATCTGCCGTCTTTCCTGTTGAGAACACAGGGTCATCATTTTACTTAATTCCTGTGTATATCAAAATTTTGTAGCATACAAATTTGCTTCGGTAACTACCGCGTCTATAATTAAAGCAGAAAAATATAGTCTGAGAACTTCTGACATGTAATAAGAGACCACCTTTTTTAAAGTGAATTTTAGTAGGCATGTAAGATTGTCAACATTTTTCTGTTGCCAATCCCACTGTTTTCCCAATCTAGGGGTCTTTGCCCTTGCAGCACCCAATGTCTCTTCTTCCATTTCCTAACTGCCACACTATCAACAGAACCAAAAGCATTTACCTCACTCAAAATATCACAATTGCATGTTTCGAGAACTCGATCTGTACTCATCTTGAGGTGTGGTGATGGGGAAGGGCACCTACTCTGTGGGGCCCGTTAGAATGAGCTAATCTCAACCACTCAGTCATGAACCCCACAGTGCAAATAATACCAGGAAAGAAGTTCCTATATATTCAGGTACCTCATCTTCACGTCCATTGCCCTGATTCAACTGCATTTCTGACAGAAAATATGTAACTCTTTCATTATAATCAGCGCATTCATCAACAGCTCAGAGAAGAAGAAGAAGAAGAGCAGTTCATCTACCATGACACATCTATCAGAAACTGAATAAGACATTCATTCAACGTTTAACCAGCAAAGGAAAGAAAAAGCATCTCGATTCTAAGAAATCAAATTTTACAACTACAATGTCCTGATTGCAAATTCAGCTTCACTCCGACTCACATCAAATATGTCAATAACAAAGCCACACAGACACATACAAAATAATTTCTTGTTTCTGCTACGTAGGCCAACTTGACTAATACAAGGTTACGCTGACCTTGTAAAAAAATACTTTACTCAATGATTCATACCATTTGGTAAAAGCCACTTCTTGGCATGGAGGTAGGTTTCGAGCATCCGTTCATTGTACAACATATAGCCCATCGGTTCCGAGATTACGACATCTACCAACTCTGGTAATGTTATTTCTTCTATTTTCCCTGGAATTACTACTATCTTTCCTTTTAAGTTATTAGCATTGACCAGCGTCTGTAAACACACAAATACAAAGTCAACATTTTCAAAACGAAGTTCAAGAATTTTCCACTGCACAAGATTTTTCTTGCAGGAAAGTTACCCAACTACCCCATGGGCTATTATAAAGAACCAAAATATTTCTGTTCAGTGATGATAGTGAATAATGAACTAGAAAGGATGTAATCATGGACTGAATTTCCTTTTCTAAAAATGAACATAAATGTACAGATAAATTAAGTGAATGTCATGCCACAACGCAATGCAAGCTCACCTCAGCATGTTGCGCCATTGTACTAGCTTCAACAGCGTACACTTTTCGTGCACCGGCCTGAATAGCAAAGAAAGACAAGATTCCTGATCCTGCACCCACGTCCAGCACAACCTTATCCTTAAAGTCCGGCAAGTTAGCAAGGATGGCCCTTTGGTACGTGCTGGTCCGAATATAATCCTGCATCATATTTTGTTGCTGAGATAGGTAGCCGTAGAACTGGAAACAAAACAAAATCAATTTGGAGATATGACAATACAGGAGAAAAATTGTGTCACACTTCATGAAATATCGCAGTACTGAGAAAAATAAAAGCAGACTGACATTAATTAAACTGTTTAACTCATATATTAGTTAAAATGCATATAAACTATGGCTGCAAGCTGAATTGATTTCAATAATGTACAATACCTGGAAATACTGCATGGCCGAAGAGTCATCAGTACGTTCCGTGAATACTGATGTACCTTTACCTGACTTTACTTTGGTTACAGCTGTGTGAAAGTTTCTTGAATCTGAAACAGAGAAAGAGTTTAAAAAAAAAATCACAAAATATTTTACAAACAGAATGTGCTCAATGTATTATGCAGTAGACACAAACCAAACATCACAGTCTAATGTTTAGTATGCTTCTTATTCTGCAAGAACCAAAGTCACATATGCAGTGTTGTCATGAATTAATTTCTAAACAGACAAATTCAAATAAAATCATAGCATTCAATATGAAGCCATGTCACAAACCTGAGGTGCATACACACAAACTGCTTATTAGCATCAATATGCTTAAATTGGACAAGACTCTAGAAAGAGACTGGCATGTAAAGTGAGCCTCAGGTACGTGTGTCACGACTCTCATCATGATTGCTAGGCAGTTTTTCAGTGCAGAGTAATACTAACCTTGTTCATCTTTGAATTTCAAAAACAACGTCTCTGTTTCTACGGTGATAACATATATTTGTGAGCCAACACGGGCACATTCTGTTGAGCGGTATATTGGAAATTCTACTAGTTCATCTTCACTCCCTTCTGAAACCAGTACACAGCATTTATGGTGGAATAAGCCAGAGTTCTTAAGGTAGAGAGACAGCCAGTAGGAAACATCAAAACTTCATCTACACAGTTCACTTGATCATCATAAAAAAAGGAACATCATGAGGAGACTAACTTTCTCAAATATTTTACTTAACACAACATGCAACATGCATTTATAGAGTTAAAACAGAAAATAAAAAGCCAGTTTATGTCATCAGTACTGAATCACAAAAGGAAAAATACACAGTTGGATGAAAGAAGAAAAATTACATTCATTTGTAAATTCTGTAGAAAACAAAGTAGGACTGAAGAGAAAGAAAGCTAGACCTTATGAAAACAGAGATGCAGAACAGAGAACGTCTTGTATAAGTGGCACCTACAAAAACCTAGTGAAGAAGTGCCTGTAAATGAGGTAATTCTGAAAGGCCAAGCTACTTTATGGAGATAAGATATTTAAAGCTTCTTAACAGTGATTTGCAGAGGGAGGTTTGACAGGGGTACATCACTTTAACCCTGAACGTGAATCTGTAGTAAAGCAGCTGATCAGTTTCCTGAAATTCCACTCAAAGTGACTGAGGATGGTTAGTACACTGATGAGTTTTTGTAAAACTGTCATGAAAGAGCACTGTCCTACAAACTGCTCTCAAACAAATTCTTTGAAGTGGACACAAAAACAAACAAACCCAAACAAACTCTGCTACTCCTCTGTGGTTGTGTTATTAAAAAACCCAAATAAATCATTGTATACGATTTTCTTAACTGTTACCGTATTTTTGTAAATTTAATTACATGCTTATTTTATTTTCGGTCCAATATTGGTTATATTTTAATCCCTGTGAGGTTAGGGGCAAACACATTGTAATTTTGTCATACATACCACAAGTCTGAATTGTTTTAATTTTACGTAATATATACGGTGTATAAAACTATCGACTAATAAAAATTATGAAAACCTTGACTTTACTCTTAACACACGAACTCAAAAAACGCAATGTTTAAATATACATTTAACCGCACATAATATTACGAGCTAAATGCTGGGTAAAATACGCGACAGTTTTCTAGAAGTTAATTTACTTGAAACATAAAGCAATGGGACGAAACGTGTGTTTACGGCAAACAAAGGCTCTATAGTCACACCGAAAGAGTTCTATGAAAGCCAAAGTACAAGCAAGCACAAATCAACCAACAAAACTTACTACAAATACCTACTAATAAGAAGTGCATAATTTATATTTTATACAAATCATTAATCCCTATTCGTTTTTCATAAAACGTCATTCAATACCGATAGCAAAACGAGACTCAGCTAAAACACAAAGCTACATAACTCTAACGATACACTTGTAAGAAGTGTTTACCTTGTTTCAATTTGACACTTATACCTTGTGGATCATAATCCACCACAAGATTTACTGGAAAATCAAACTTAGGTCGTATATCACCCGATCTTTCAGCATATGAAACGGTTACAATGCGAAACACTGTCGCCATTTTAAACGCTAAATCGAAGAGTATCAGTTCCACAGAGGACATTTATAATAAATTCATTATTGATGTTGACATTTGGTCTACTGTGGCATTACCAAAGGCTATAAACAACTTGGCAACGATACTTGAAAACGCCACTGCCGACATCTTTACGTCGGGCATGACTACTACAAGCGCGTTGCTATTATTATTATTTGGGACACATGACGCCATAGCGGCGAGTACAAATTGCTGTACAGCTGCACAGATAAAAATTTCATTTGTCGCTAACATGGCGTTACGAGTTCTGTTCCATCTTACACTTGTCATTCCATGACGAAAAACAATTCTGGAGATGGAAGTAGTGTATGCCTCCGAAACGTTGGTACTTGCCACACGGTATTACGACAGAAAACCAACGAGTGTGATCAGAGATACTTTTGCCAATATTTAAAAAAATTACTATAGGAATATTTTTAATAATTTAATTTAGAAAACCAACGAGTGTGATCAGAGATATTCTTTTAGTACTGGCTCAAATACTTTTGCCAATATTTAAAAATTTTACTGTAGGAAGATTTTTAATAATTTAATTCCTTTGTAGTAAACTTCTTTCTGAAGGTTGCTGTCTTCTGGGTTATTGCGCCGCGTAATCTGGTAGTTTTCCACCAACGTTTCAGAGGTCATGCTGCCTCCGTCATCACCTCTGTGAAAACCTCAAATCCTACAAACTTCTTTCTGATATTTGCTGAGGTTAGCTTTTGGCACATGGCGTAATGGAAAGAAATAAAGAACGACTTCGTTTATGTTTACAAAATATGTCTAAGCCATTGGTTATCCATTAATTATTATCAAATACCATTTCTTTCTGTTTTGGTGGGAAGACTTGTTTCATATTACCAACATAAAACTACTTCCGGTACTTCAGTCCCTTGCGTATCCTAAAAATTACCACGGTTGGTTGGGGGTCAAGGGAGCCGAGGACTCTATTTTGTAATTAAAGCCAAATTTCATAAAAAAAATGTTGGCCCCCCTACCTTCAGCAAGTGTGGCTGTCTTCGCGCGGATGAAGATTGCCCTGCAAACAGGTCAGAGCGAGCATCACGCTGCAGTTTGTGGCTGGGGCGTGTCGACGCACACAGTAGGTGGCCTCTCTTCTGTTGTCATGCCGACCAGGATACAAACAACAAACACCTAACCTACGTACGGTTCACTGGGCAGTGGTATTTTCCCCCTCAGGCTTATCGGAAGGAACAGGGTACCTCCTGGCACAAGTAAGTTCCGCGCTGCCGTGCTCATACAACAAATTCACATTTTAGTGCAGTTTATATTTGAACATGTACAACCTAAATCAGTGTTTGCACATTTTTATATTGCATATTCGCACTTTATAGTTAGATAAAGGTAGTATCTCATCTTTCGTAATTAGAATTCTTAACACGCACTGGTTCATTATCTATCGTATTGTTGAATGTGTTATGTGTTTCCTTGTGCTAAATATTGTGGCATACAGTCGTGTGTCTTTGACAAATCAGGGAGGTGAAAAAGGTTTGCACAAAACTGGACTATCGAATTTAACTCCTTGCTAAAAGACGAAAAATTGTTACTCAGCTGCAGTTATAATTGAATGTAACATATGAAATAGAGTATTTCTTCACCTTTTGGGGCCGACTTCAGAATCTTGCATGTTCTGCGTGCGTGTTTATACCAAAAATATTTTGTTTCATTTGTTGTGTTACTTGTTTATGGGTTTACTGCATCTTGTAATAGCAACATTATAGCACAGGTCTCCTTGAGAAGCTTAACGGCCACTCGGTTCGTTACTGTTTTTATGGATCGCCCCGTGCTCACAAGAATGCGCCACTAGACCCTACCCTGAACGAGATTTATCCAGTCCATTTCCTCACAACCTCTTTCTTTATCACTGCTATGTGATCTTCCCATTCGGACAAATGTAGTCCTAGGAGAAACAACGTCGATTGTTCAAGAAATCAGAGCACCGCTATTTCGCGTCTCGCGCTCCGCGGACGAGGTGCACCATGCAGGCCGATCTACGTCGACTGCCACACCGCTCCGTATAACTTTTGTGCATCGAACAGCATATAACTATGAGTTTAATTGTTCCGACGTCAGTAATTCCTCTAAACCATTTCAAATTTATCTTCGGTTTGGTTAGAGTTGCATCCCTCTGCACGAAGGACAGGAATGGGTCACAGCGTTGCTTAGTGTTTGTCCGCGACAATCAATGACCGTAACTACCTAGAAATGGGCTACGACATGATTTAGCGTACTAATTGCAATCTGTGACTTCGAAAGATCCAAACTTCCATATCGTTTCGTGTTTTATAAACGAAAGGTAATCGATTGAAACAAATGTTAGTGTAAATAAATTTCGAGGCAGCCGAACGCCAAACGCTGCGGTATTATATCAGCAGATCTGTGTCCGGATCTACAAATTCACGGTAACCGAGCTCAGTCACACATCGCCGGCCTGACCGGGACACGGTACGTTTACCCTCTCCGAGCGCGGAAGTTATGAAAGGGAGATAAAACGATGACTTCATGACAAAAGTTTGAACATTGTATTTATTTGTGGTGCATTCAACTGTCTGTACAGCATGATTCGTGAACGACGAGTTGTAGAAGATCAGGGTGGAAGCTAACGTGACGCAATTTAAGACACTCTTCTGAACGGCTGAGGAAAACCACACGAAAACCCTCAGGCAGGATAGGCGATCTCCGTACAGAGATTTGAACCCAGGAACTACTCCCAAATACGAAGCAGGAGGAACTTCAACCTGACTCGCACAGCACAGAAAAATACACCGGCCGACAGCCCTAATAATGGCCGTGTCGGATTTTATTACGAGTACCAGTGACAGGATGAAGCTCAGAACTCAGAGAAACTATAACGAGCAAAAAGATTCCTAGCAACAGAGAGCCGTATCTTGACAGCCCGGATGTTAAATTTCAAATTTGATAAGAACTCGCCGTTAGCGTGGGTGCAGTTCAGGTTTCTGAAGAATTACGTCACATAGAAGTTTCAATAGTTCTTCAATTACAAGCGTCTTATTACAGTGATTCATCATTTGCTGCCAACAGACGAGACGGAGTGTGGGCAGATTTTAATACTGACATGCATTCATTTCACACGATCCTTCGGAACCGCTGCAAGAATGTGCTTCCTGTCCCGGTAACGCGTGACCCACAGGGGTCATTCCCATTGCCGTGGGTCAATTTACGTCAATAGAGCGGAGTCAAGCAGTTCAAGCTGTAGGATCAATAGTTTTACTGCAGACAGTTTCTTTGTTTATGCATCGTCACTTGTTTTTTGTTTTTGTTTTTTGTGATTGCGCTCAGGAATGGGAGGAAGTGGTGTGGGGGGAGGCGAGGAGGAAGCAACTTCCAATACGTCTTCGCCATAAAAATATGTACGATAACTAAAACAGCAGAAATTCCTTCGCATGTATGTACGCATGCGCGCCAGTTCCGCATTGTTAATGGCTATTAAAAATATGAAAATACATGCAATTTACGTTGGCACCAACTTCGTCTAAAATCTATTAATCACTAAGTGAGACCTGACGTCCTCCCTGTGGCGAGTACGAACGTGTTTTGCCTTCTGAGTCGTTGTGACTTGTCCGCTAGAAGTTTATCGACGTTCCATCAGGGCGATGGAACGTCGGTCAAATACTACATCCCAGAAGCCAACCATCTCCAGGAAATGTATTCTTTGCAGGAAAATGGGGCCTGCCGGACGGAACGTGACGCTGATCGTGTTCTGTCTTCTTTCTTCATCGTCTGGTGCTTCTCCAATGTCCACTGCTTCGCGTCACGCGAACGCTTTGGTTGGTATGAATGCGGAGGCGAATGAATATGTGCCTACAAAGAAAACTCTTTAAAAAAAATTTGTGTCCAACAAAACACGACTTCAACCTCCTTCGATTACGGTTTCCACATTACAATGCCATGTTAATTGTGAAAATTTTGCTTGAATCCGGACAGTATGTCGGTTTTCTTTCATTATTCCAAGTCTAGTGGCTTTATCATTTTTATTACAAAAACTGCGCCAATTGTAACATATTCAAGTTTGAAAGGAGACGACTAAAGAACAACAATTAAAAGGAAATCACATTAAAACAATAACATGGAAGAAGCTAGTTAACTTAGAGGTTTATTTATCGCCAGAAACAAAGCATGTTGTTGCTGCATATATACTATATATACTGCCCATTTCCGTGACTGAAGTTTTAAAATTGTTCCGGTTTACATTTGTTTTGTTTTTTTCGCAGGATCGAGTCCGGAGGCAAGGGACGTCTGGAGGTAAGTTGTCCTGCACTGTTTTAATTCGAATCAGAATAATCGTATTCGGCATTGTGAGTCACGTCTCCGGACGCCTCTGTGGCAACAGGATGGAGCGGAAATTCTAAATACAGGTTGAATGACCTTTTGAAATATTTCACAAAATTTATTACCAAAGACGACAGATTTTATGCTTCGCCGATGTCGACGACATGAACCATCGCAGAAATACTATGTTAACGAAAGCTGCGGAAGATGAATCCAGTCCCATCCTTATTCCCTTAACACTGATTTTAATATCATCCTCCCATCTAAACCTCAACTCTTCTGACTTTCCAACCACAACTCTGTACGCACTTCCCACCTCTACGCATGCTACATGAACCGCGAATCTTATCCTCCTTCATTTGATCATGGATGAACCAGGTAGTGCGTTCCTCAGAAACAATGGCATCTACCTAAAAGTCCGCATGGGATTGCGGACTGTAAGAACGCCATCTTTACTGGTGTTAGGATCTCATATCTCACATAAGTCAGTTCTTGCGAACACAATAACAAAATTTCAGTTCCGTAAAGACGGGGCTCATGTATTGACTAGTTGAGCGACTATTAGCTTTCCAAATAGAGCTCTCATACATTGACTTGGTCTATTATCTGCTGAAGAACAAAAGCCACATCTGCCTGCCTGCGAACAAATTAGACTTCTCTTTCAGAGATCTGCGACTTCGGCTCTGACGATGATCTGAGCATCTGCGACTGGACGAATCGCAACGGATCGACGCTGCAATGGCAGACCGGCTCAGGGTCCTTATCAAACTGGTTGGGAGGTCCCAGCAGGGAT